ATAAGATGATGGATAATCAAATCCTATATAATTTTCTTAGATATCATTGTGAGTGGAGTTCATATTATTTGCTCAATCGAATATATATATATATATAATTGCTGGCAAGTTTTAATAAATTTATTTCAGCCAATAATTAATAATAATATGAGTTCATTTAATAAATTAGGTGTTCATTGATTAAAAATATGTTCACCATTTAATAATAATATGTAACTTTCAGTTACACAATTTATTTTGACATGTCTAATTTTGGATGGTATTTATGTAACGCCTTTTAATGTTTTGAAATACAATATATTTTTGTTTTTACTTTGATACTATATATTTTTTGGTATTATATAAATACATATTTCAAAACTTATTAAGAATGACTACAAATATCTCTATTTTATATTGCAGTCATACAATAATAAAAAATATTTTTTCAGATATTACAAAGATAAATCAAATATTTTAAAAAATCAAATCCCAGAGTCACGAGTCGAAAAGGTATCACGATAATGATTTGTTGTGATGGGAATTTTGATGATATGAAAGACAAAAACGTTATACCCAAAAAACAATACACCTGCGTCTCTCTCTTCCCAAACCCTTCTCCCCCAAATCGCTTTTCAACCTTCTCGCCGTCCAAATTCACTGCCTTCCCCGGCGAACAGCCGGCCTCTTGTCGGTGAATGACCCGTAGCATCGCTCCCTCGGCCCGATCTGTGTGTTTCCTTTTCGGTTCTAGCCCATTGGAGAGGAGTTTCTTTTCGTCGACCGGAGTTGTTCCGCTTGGGGTCGCCGTTCGAGATTCTCTTGGCGTCGTAGGTGGACTACCGGAATTTCTTGTCGATTCCGTCCATGTACGACTTCTGTTGACAGGTTCCATGGCTCCACTACCGATGTGGGTTCGATTCTCGGCCCCGACGGTGACTTTCCAGCTTGTTTCTGTCGACTCTGTCTTGGATGGTGGTCGATAACGGGTTCGACGATTTCTCCTCCGTTTTTGGTCCGATTGTTGCAGGAGGTGCGTGGTTGGGGTGTTGGGTGCGGCCCTGGCGGCTCGGCTCGTCTGAGTTGTGGCGGCCAGGAGATGAGGGGTTTCGATCTTTGCCTCAGGTCCCCTTTCCGCTGGTGTTGCGGCTTTGGGACGCCGGTACGCCCGAACCTAGGCCAGTGGTGTTGGCCGGGTCTCGGGTTGCTGGCGTGTGGAGGACATGTTGATACTTCTCTGGCTTTGGGACGACTTCATCCTTGGAGTGGTTCGATGTTCGGGACTTGTTTCTTGCTAGGCAATAGGCAGTGGCGGGAGTGGTGTTCTGGATTTCGGGTCAAGCTGTAGGATAATAGTCTTTTTCGCTGGTGCTTTGGGTCGGTTTTAGCATTTCGCTGGGGAAGGGCCTTTTTCGTTAGCAGTATAGATTTTCTTTTTATGTTTTTGTGTCTGTTTCTGTTTTGTGTTTGTTATTGTATTTTAGGTTTGGGCCGTTGGCCTCGGTTTACCCGAGTGTGACCTTATTATCCCATTGGGATCCCACACTCGGGCATTACCCTGTTGAGGTCTTTCTAGTTTGTTTTAATTTTAGTTTGTGTTTGGTTGTAGTGTGTCGGTTTTTAGTTGCGAGTGTTTTTATTCTAGCGTTGTTAGTCGGGATTCTAGGCGGTCTTCTGACCTGTCCCCTTTTTCAGCTGTTGGCTGCTGTGTTTTCAGCTGTTGGCTGCTGTGTATTCGCACATCTTTGCATTTTAATTTATAATATTATCTATCGTTTTGGCAAAAAAAAAAAGACAAAAACGTTATTTATAAAGAAGTATTTAATAATATTTAGGGTCACTTTTTTAAATTATCTTTTATCTTCACTTATTAAGTTATGATTTTTATTTTATTTTATAATTTTAATTACTTTCCCTTTGTTATATTATATCACTTTTCGTGCAAATGCACGGGGTAAATGTAGTATTCTATTAAGATGAAAGCTTTAGATGTGAAAGAAAATATAAATATTTTGATAATTGACCTTATGTTTGGGAAATGAATAAGTTAAATAAATAACATGTCAAATAAAAAAATAAAAAAAATTGTTCATCTTCATACGTAAATAACAAAAGATACTGGCATTTATTTTTCTGGTACCACTAGTAGTTTTTTATGAAGTGATTATTAATGTAATAATGAGTGAATATCATATTTTTTCCCAACGATAGGATTCTCATAAATGAAACAACTAAATAAGCCCTGCAAGCAGCAAACTGAAAACACCATGATCACCAACCTACGCATAAGTTAGGGACCTTTGAAACTAAAACTACCATGATCACCAACCTACGCATAAGCCCTGCAAGCAGCAAACTGAAAACACAAAGCACCAAACAACTAAACAGCCCAAAACAGAAATCAGAGAAGAAAAATGAAACAAACCAAAAGAAAAGCTACAGACTATGATGAAATTGAAAAAAAAATTCTTGCCACTCCCCCCATGCACCCTTCACAATGACAATCTCTGGTTTGTTTTCATTTTGAAATAGCCACAAATTTCTCGACCTCCATAACCACCATAAGATGTATGTGGTAAGTTGGATTCGAGCCTCCGATGTGTCTGAGTTATTTATCGAGCACACATGCCACCACTAATCATTAAATTTGCAATTTTCCATCTGGATGCCATCCCAAGACAAAGGTGCTATTTTCCAAACTTTCCAAGCCTTTGCACATTTGAGGAATGGATGCTCCATGGACTCTTCCTCTTCACTGCAGCTTCTACATATCACATCAAACTCTATTCCTCTTCTTTTCAAATTCAAGCAAACATGTAACACATTGGAGAAGCATTTCCATATAAAGTGCTTGATTATGTCTTTCACTTTGAGCTTCCAACTTCGAAGTCTAACATCTTTATTGATTCTGCCCGAAAGACTACCCTCAGCTCTATCCATATTCAAAATTTTCAAGTCCATAAGGTGAGAATAAGACCCTGCCACTGAAAAGTGTCCTCTTCTGTCAGGTTGTCAAATCCACTTATCCTCACAGAGGGGGTCAAGAGTTGAGATTTGGAGAATAGCTTCACTGTCAGGGCTTTTAAAAGCATTTTTTACCAGATCCTGATCCCATCTCCTGCCATCTTCCTGCAATAGGTCCTTAACCCAAGTTAGAGAATCTCTCAGGTTGGTGGACGGTTGAGGTTGCTTGCAACCCAAAGTAGGAACCCACCCATGGTCTGAAATTTTTGTTTGTTCTCCATTTCTTATTAGTCTTCGCAGGCTTTCTTTGAAAGTGGGCCGGCATTCCAGCCAGTTGTTCCAAAGCCAGAAAGATGAAGGTTTTTTTTTTAGCATTAGTTAAGCTAGAATTGGGATAGTATATAGCTTTGAGCAGTTTACTGACCAAGAGCTCTGGTTGGGTAGTACACAACTGTTTGAGGATGAAGGACTCATTAAATAATTTGAAATCTTGGAATTTGAGTCCTCCATTCTCTTTAGGGAGAGAAATGGAGTCCCATTTCTTCCAATGAAGTCCTGCTGTATGTTCTTGGAATTTACTCCACCAAAATTGAGCTGTTAATTTGGCAAGCTCTTTGTACAAACCTGGTGGATTGATGCCCCCTAATGCCAACTAACAAATCACAAATGTTATGTCTAGTAGAAGCTGAGGTATTCTTGCTGAAAAATACCAAGAACTTCTCCAGATTAACCCTTTGGCCAGTAAAATCTCCATAGATTTTCAGAATATGCAACAGCAGGAGGACCTGGTTTACTTCAGCACTATAGAGTCATCCACAGACTGTAAGTGAGAGAGAGTAGGGCTACCTCTTGCTATTCTCAAACCTCTTAAATTTCCATTTTGGACTTCAAGACTAATTAATGTCGAAAGTGTTGTAGCAAATTAATTTTATTTTTACCGAGTACCGAATCAAAAGATTTGTTCCCCGGGTCGATCTCTCGAGGAAGACGGTTCGGAATCTAGGCGTTGGTATTAATCACACACGAAAAGAAAAATAAGTCCTAAACACTCTAATCACGATTAATTTGGTGAATTGACTAAAACAAGCTAGAACTAGAAAAGCAATTTAAAGAAATAACAATTAAATCTCTAGAGAAAAGGAAGAAGTTCTAGGGGTCGGAAAATCTCATCAAGTTTCAAACTACGTTGAACGATTATATGTTCGGTTACGAGATTTAACAAGCCTACACGTCTGGAGGGCTATGCTCAATAACTCTTCGTAACAAGAGCACATACATAAAAGATAAACTCATTCAAACAAGCAACACATAGACAATACGTTTCCGAACAAGTCTACTATTATACGAGCCTAAATCGACCGACATCTCCCCTCTCGGTTCTAAACGTCGATTAACTAGGTTAGAATGGTGATCAATCAACTAACCATATAATTCACACGACTCGCATAGATTGAACAAACACATTCCACATAATTGAAACAAGAATCAAAATCCATAACTCTAGGTGAATGGATTACCTCATGCTTAGATTCAATCTCATGTTAACTGGAATTAAGAATATAAAACCAATCAACAATAATAAAAT